AAGTTTTTCTTGCACTTTTTGTCTCCACTGGAACAAGACACCCAAAGGAATGTCTTAAGTGACAGATGTCTAAGAAGCACTGACACAAACCAGAAGCTGATCACTTCCCTGCTATGTCAGTACAGTCAGGTCTTACAGCTGACACTAAAGAGATTTTGAGGGGTTTTCCAAGCTGTTCTTTTCATCACTGCTAAGTTTTCTCACTCTAGAGTTCAGTTTTCCTGAAACTTCAATAAAAACTTTAGTTTATTTAATCTGATTCCTTAAACGATTTAAACATTTCCTACTGTGTTCATCTTTCCCTGAACAAAGAAATGCTCTAGAGCTCTAACAGGAAATTGAAATCGGAATCCGAGTACTGTGATCATTTTTAGGTAGCCTATTGTCAAATGGCTGAGCAGTGTCTTCTGCAGCCAGAGCTGGAATGCAAGGAGAGAGGAGGCACGCAGAGAAAGGGGGGAGTCGTGCTTGGGAGGAGCTCTGATGGCACTCGGAAGAGCACAGCTGCATCTTGCCATGTTCGATCTGGGGTCATGCATTTCATTTCTAGTACAGCCCCAAAGGTAATTACTCAACTTCCCTTTTATTGCAGTTCTCACCATTTCACATTATTTTAGTGCTCCTTCTGATATTAACTGATACCAGACCACAGGAGCAGCTGAAACATGCAGGTAAGTGCCAACTCAGCATTGTTACAACCTATGTCTTGTCTTGCTTGGAGGAGATTTTAAAAAATAAAATAGAGCAGCTCCCCAAGAATGAAAAGCACATCTGAACTGAAAATTTTCAGCATCATCTGGAAAATTTAATACAAGGAAAATATGAATTATCCCAGCTAAAGATGATGGATGGATACAGTTCCCATTTGCTTCACTGGGCTCTGAACAGCACAGCAGCACCAGCAAGTACAATCCTCTGAAGAGTACCTCGTTAGCTCTGTCAGTGCCACAGCTGCGACAGACCAAACCCTGGAAAGAAATGCCACTGAACAGAGGAGTTGCTGTGGTCTACCAGGTAGAAAATTTACCCCAGACTGAACCAGAAACAATTAACAGACTATTTCCTATTCATAAGCAAAAAAACCCCACACGAAAAACTATACCTCTATCCTCATGCTATTTAATCTTAATTTTAAAAAAATTTAGTAAATTCATCCAAAGTATAACTCCATTGAAATTATTGCCTCAACTCAACCCTGAAGTTTCTTGACTGCAGTCTTGAACTTGAAATCAAGGGAGTTTTGACAGGGAGAAATTTGATTCTGCTGGGCTATCAAACATTGCTGATACCAAATTAAAATAGAGGGTTTACCAACTGCTGTAGCGTCCACTGAACTGAGATTACAACAGTTTTCTTCAGGAGGAAACTTATTCCAGAGTCTAAGCTTCACAAACTTTCTTCTGAGATTAGACATCAACTTCATTTGATTTCCCCCCCCCCCCATATTGCAGCAAAAATAATAGGCAGTCACTTCATGAGCGAGTCATTTGTTTATCTCAGTGCCTTTGAAGCATGGATGTGATCAAGGACATTAATACGTTTTCTGAAGCAGAAAAACATTAAAGAACCAAAGACCTTTAGCAACCGCCAGGGATATCAAATAAGATGATACAATATCACTCATTTAACTTGATCTTTTCACTTGGGTCTCCAGGACATACCATCTAAATTCTGCTAAAAATCACAGACTACTGCTACAGATCTGTACTACTTCAAGGGCTGGAGTTGATTCAGAGGCTGCAGTGGAGCTCTGCTGCCACTGGCACCCTCAGGAGGAGGGGACAGTTGTCAGACACACCTGGCACCTAGAGGCTGCCACCCTTCATGTATTGTCAGATCCTCAAAAGACAAAAGTGCCCAAGGCAATGACCACTGCAGCAAACCTGGCTACTCCATTTGTGTCTAAATGGTAAAAATAAAATTTTTGAAAATTTTTGAAAATTTCATCACATAACTGTTTTTCAGCTCCCCATTACAGGCTGTATTGACCAATGCTATGTACCTTCAAGTAAACTGCCACATTCCTTTTTTCCTGGGCAGTTATGTATTTACACAGCTACTTTTCTCAGTACCATGCAGAACTGAAAGTGATTCTAATGAAGAATGAGTTACTGTTCTTCAGTTAAAGGACAAGTAATTGTGAAAGGTCAGTAAGATTTACTTTGCTGTTGGCTTAGAGATCATTTGTTACTCAGATGACAAAGGTACTATGTTTACAGAGTACAGCTAGTGATCAACAGCACTACCTGTTTATCACACAATCCTTGGCATTTCTGTAATTTCTCAGGCAATAAGACTTGAGCTTCTCACTCAACATGAGCAGTAAAGGCTCAGAAATAATCATAGATTATTGCTGAGATCTTCCAGAAACTATTTTAAAAACAGTCTATCAATCACCTTCTTGTTCTTGATGAGCCATTTCAAATGTCAAAATGTTGGGTCACATTTTTTAATAATAGCTACAAAAATGTCATGTTATGAAAGTTTTAACTCCACATCTTCCATGATAGTCTCTGAATCAGAGCCATGGAAATGCAGGTCTAAAAAGGACTGCTAAGAATTTTTTTTTTATTTTTCTAGTTACTTTACTTTTTCAATGGTTTCTAGATCTATAAGCACTTTCAAGGTAACCTGTAGATCACCACTGAGCAAATTTAACAAAAGTACTGCTTTTATTAATGATCTTTTACTCCTCCCTTTGAAGGCATTCTAAACCCTGCACTGTCTCATACCACAAAGTGAAAATTGCTCTTGTATTACAGCCCTCTCTACATCAAGGATATGAAGCCATCACCAGCCATTCCAGGAGCGCATTCTAGAATTCTATCATACCATTTAGATGCCAACACAGAGCATTTCCAATCTGGTGGCAGCTATAGACAAGGAAAGAAAAAAATTTGGGGAAGAAAATTGTTCAGTAAAGCCATCAGTAGTGTGTAGAAAGAATCCTGTGAAATTGCTCATTTAACAGGATGTTACATCATTGTTTATGGACCAAGAAGGGTTCGTATCACACACAGTCACACCAAAGCTTCACTGGAGTCCAATCAAGCACAGCTTTTCTATTCACCATTTTCTTGACTTAAATTTGCATGCCAGGCCCACTGGGCTTGGTGAATTCTACTTGCTCCCCCCCCAGAAAACCCCACCTATTAACAACACTTTTGACTTCTCTAAGACTTTCAAAGCATGTCACAAACACCAGAGCTCACCGTATTGTATCCCTTATCACTTATTTGTGGACAGGGAACACAGAAGTCAGGCATTTAAGGGTCTACCTAATTTCAATTACCATCTATGAAGAGTCTGACCAATTTTAACTACAGTTGGATTTCTGCCTTAATGCCCCACTGAGTCACAGAGCAATTCAATGGGAGAGACAGAAATAGAATACAGCTGTCCCAATTCTCAGACTCCATTCTAACCAAATGACCATGTGGCTTCCCAGCTTGGTGCTTACAAGAATATACCAGCTGCTGTAGTTTGCATCTGCAAACCATTCTCTAACTGCTTTTAAACATATCTTCTTTCATAGCCAGGCTCAGCTGAGCAGGCCCAGGTGGGAGGGAGTGACAGAAGAGTTGAGAAATGTATAGACTTTGTGCCTCAGTCCTCTCAGCAGAACCAGGTATCAAATGACTCAGGGAACTTTTACTCCAGTGCTGCATGTTCATTCACCCGGGTTCCCCTGAGGTGCACAGAGTGTGCCAGCTGGGCAGGTGTGAAGAGGATGCCACAAGAGGACCACAGAAGCCATTTCTAAAAGCCAATACTACTCCTGGTCACAGCATGTACCTCACCAGTCACGTATGTGCCTTTGTTGTCCCATAAAGCATGACGTTCAGTATTTGGCCTATAGAACAGCTTAATTACAATCCCTGCCCCCAAATGGCAGCTGAACACCCACTGATTCTCACTTCATGCTGTTTGCATGTAAACAAACCCATTAATCACCAGTGAGAAGTCTATTGTTATTACAATGACTATGAAAGTTAAAGATCAAAATTACATAAAGGTCTTTGTCACTGTGTAGCCAGTTGTACAATATGAAAACCATCTTACTTGAACAACTGGTCATGGGGATCTTCTTCCCTGCCATTTGTGCATCTTCCATGTCCTGCTGTGCATCAAGCTTCACCTGAATGACTGTGAATGATTGGCAGGGGAACAGTTCCAAACTGAGCACTCTATGAACTTCCCTCTTATTAACCAGGTAATTCACTCAACCCTCCGAAGAAGGGACTTGCTGACCTACTGTGCTCTACACAGTGTGCACGCCTCAGCACTCTATTAGAGCTCTGACCGTTTCTGCAGTTAGCCAAGTACAAGCTGTAGCGTTTCCCAGCTGATTTCTAGCCACTAATCCACACCCCTGATATAGTGAAGGCTTGGGATTTTAAGTAGCAGCTTCCAGTTTCACGGGTGCCATTAGTGATGGGTGCAAGTGATAGAAATCAAAAGCCCCTAACTAGTCTCTTTGCCACATGCTTTGCAGACACAGTGGGACTAATGGTCAGTTCCAGAAACTGTGAACTGTATCACTACTATTTGCTAAAACCTTCCCATAAGCGGTCCATGCTGGAATAGAAGAGCAAAAACTCCAGTTGTTTTCAACCTGCTGGTAATGCCAAGTGATCAGCTTTCTTATAAGCCTGTCCTGAGAAAGGGGAAGAAATCCTGGCCAGGGTAAAATGACTGTCTTCCTTCTTCCAAGTCTTTTTGAAACACTGCAGCAAAGCTTACAAATCAACTGTAACTTAGCCCTGATCAGCTTGATGATGATCTACAGCTACCAAAACTCCTGAAATATCCTATTTATGCCCAACACAACTGACACGATTACTCCATCCTCTCACTTGCTCAACCATTTCATACACCCACAGGTGTATGTAGGTATGCGTGGTAGGTGTAGGTATATGGTAGTGTATGTATATACACCTACATTTCATTCTAACTCCCTTCGGGTAGATGGTTTCAGTTTTACTCTGTATAGTACTTACCATAACGGGATTCTGTTCTTCACTGTTGCTGTGCTACGGGACTCTTAAAGACTAGTACCCTAAAAGATAAAATTAATAATTTTACTGCAGGAAGATTAACACATTGCAAGCAAATTAAGCCCTCGCAAAATGAGCGGACCTAATAACTTAGTAACTACTAAGAACAATAAAGCCACTAGAAAAAAAAGCCAGAAACAGTAAAAACAGACATATTGCATATGCATACTCACAGGCACACAGGAACAACAGAGAAGGGAGCAGTACTTGAACTAACCATTATCTATTCCAACCAGATCAGTCCATATGACCAGTACCTGAAGTTAACTTTGTTAACACCAGATCCCTGTTCAAAATTCCTCTCTACATCTGATTCCAGGTTGCACCTCCACTAAGAACAGCTGCTCCCAGGTGTTGTGTACAGGTAGGCACAAATGCAGCTGCCTTGCTGATGAGGTCCTGCACTTTATTATCAGACCAACATAGACAACCTGAAGGCAAATCACATTTGCACTGCATCCTTAAAGCAAGGCTTGAGGTCACTTTACTGAATAATCTATACAAATGAACAGCTGTCTTTTACAGCAACTGAAAACAACAATAGGGAATAAAATTCTTTCATTTTAAAAACTGCTATAGAAATGTCTGAATTTCAAGAGGAAAGTGTTCTACAGCCACGAGGGCCAGTTCGGGAACTCTGCATTCTGCTTTTACTCCATCTGAGTTGTGTTCCCACTGTGGTCTCTGCTCTGACCCCTGGCATGCAGGGCAAGCCTTCGGGAGCATCTGAGCCTTCTGCCTTTGTGATCCAAACAAGCAGGGACTGGCAGTTGGGATTTTCAAATATGCTCTGTGCTGATTGCTGCCAGTGAACTCGACAAGAGAACTAGCTATAAGCTGACAATTTAAAATCCAAACCAGTGTTTTCAAACACTTTGAGCCAAACACTAAATCTCTTATCAACTCTCACTCACAAATTTGCTCCCTTTCACACCCAGTTAGGGCTCCTCTATAGTAACCACAGTGTAGTAACCTACTGTGTCAGTAGCAAGTGTAAAGGAACAGCATAGAGGAAACAAATTAGCATGTTACTCTAATTGCTATGGGAAGTAGTGACCTCCTATTTACAAACTTCCAACTGACTTTGCAACTTACTTGACAGTGTGAATCACTTCTTTAAGGGAAGCTGGATGTCCACCATTTCTATCATAACAAATCACATTTCCCAGAATCACTTCTTGCTACATCATGAAACTTACTTCAGCTTAAACAGTATTTTGGCAAGGTATACTGAGCTGTAAATTTGCTTTGTCCAATGACTAATTCCCTGTCAGAAGCAAACAAGAATCTCTTGAGTGCTGTCATTAGCAGCTGTGAGAAAACAGGCTGGGCAGCTGAGTGTTTTGGTGCTTAGAGGCATAGGGTCTTGGCTGTTTCATTTAGTGACATTATTTGGTTTGAAAGATCCTGAACTACGCTTGAAACAAGAGACAGGGCACAGTGACACTTTTTCTGAAGATGGCCATTTTCTTCCCAAATCACAGGATTCTCTTGATTAGAGAACTATAGAAATGACCGACCCTGCATAAACATCACAGAGATAATTACAGAATAAAGAAACATTACAGTGAATCCATTGAGATCTTTAATTCCAAACTGCCACTATCCCAGAAGGAACAAACTGTGAGTTAGACTGACTCTTAAGTATACAATTAAACCTGTCAAGTTATGACTCCATAATATGCTGTTTAATATTGAAAAGTCTGTCAGTAAACAAATATGTGGGATTAATATAAGACTTCGGGTTTGCTTCCTCATGAAACTATAAAATGATTTATCTGATACAAGCAACACGTTATACCCCTTTTGGCAACACTTCTAATGCTATGTGGAATACTCCCCCTTCCCTGGCCTTTATGGATTTAAACTGGTGAGGGGAGTTCTGCGCATTCCACGTGGAATTTACTCAGTAATTCTATTAAGAGCTTCCATGCACAGAAATTAATGTTCTATCTCATTCAATACTCATCCTATTCATTATTCAAAACAGAAGACCTAATCTCTCCTTATACTGTTTCCTCAAAGGATTTTGTATTAGTTTCAAGGAATTCAAAAGATCAAGCTTCAACAATTCTGTGTTTGCAAAACTATAAGACTCTGGGGCTTACAGTTAGAGCAGAAGGCTTTGCAATTTCTGGAATTTCTGAGAAGGAGGGTGTCAACTGGCTTACAGAGCCTCCAGAAGAGGCCCTTCACTACTGTTCCTCACTGTTTCCAGGCCACACTTCAAGTGACATTCAGCATTAACTAGCGGAGCTTCTAATGGCCTCACCAGATTTTATAGGCCAATTCACTCACCCGGGTTTAACTAGCAGTGACTCCCACAGGGCCTCAGAGCTCTTGTAGAAACGAGCATTGCCCACCCCTGGGGTCTGCACCAAGTGAGAGCAGAACCGCCACGGCTGGGGCTCAGTGCTGGGACAGAGAACGTGGGAGAGGAGCTGCCTTCACCTCCTTCCTAGATAGCAAATGAAAAACTGTGACTATTCCTATTCCTCAGTGGATTTGGTTTTTGATGAATCCCACCGAAGCCACCTGTGCTGTGACAGGCTGGGCTGCCACTGCTGCCAACTCCGGGGTGGGTCCCTCTGCCACAAAGGGCTCCCTCCCAGGCGCTGGCTGTGCCTCTAAGACTTAGCTCACCTCTCATTAAATCCACTGAATGCTACCCAGGCCCATTTACTTAGCAAACTAATTTTGAGGACTGGATAGACACAGCCTGTCTGGAACCCTGTCTCCAGCAATGATTAATATTTAGCAAAGGATCTGTAGGTTATGTATAATACCTTTTATTATCGTGACTTCCGTCCCTGGGAAAAGCTGACAATTTCAGGGGATCATAAGTCCTTTCTTAGCCCTGAGAGACAACTTTCAGACACAAGTGCCTTTCCTCAGCTCTGAGAAAGGTCTGTATTCCTGAAAGCTTTCCTGCCTTATAAAACTATACTATTAGTCTAATAATAAGGATCATACAAACATCATTGTGGCTGTACCCACTCCAGCATTCTGACATCATTAAAATCAAGATGAAGAGAAGCAGGAATTGTACCTTTCACAAAAATACAGTACATCCTCCTGCAGGGAAAACTGTTCACATGTTCTGATGCATGAGAAGCTGCATTTTAGAAAGGATCACACAGGAAGAGAGTTGTCCATCCATTACTGATACCTATTTCCAGCATCTTCTCCCCGATTAGCTCAAGTCAAGAGACAAACAAGTAGGAGTGTCATAAACAAGCTATGCTTTTAGATTTTCCAGAGAAAAAAAGAGCTGATTTGCCTCCCATTTCTGTTAGCAAACAAGTCATTCCTAATTTACAATGTTAACAAGAGGTTCACATAAAACAGGTTAGATTTGTAGTCATTGCAAGAAACACAATTCAGTAAATAACCAAGAGGATAAAATTGTTTAGAGATGAGAAGCTAGAAACTACAGTCCCAGTGGCAGTGTACATTTAACAAAAATAGGATGCTTTAACTAGACAGTGGAGATATTTCTCTCAGCTTTGCACACAGAAGTAATGTCATGTAGGCAAACATTTCAATGAGGAAGATGTGTGTCTTGTGATGCACCACCAAAAAAAATAATCTGTTTTGCTAAGGGAATGCTAAGTGAATGGAAGAAGTGAATGGATTCTGGTCTGACTTCTTGACTTTGGCAGTACAGCTCTGTGACCTAGGGCAAGCCACTTAAACATTCAACATCTCTCAGAATCTGGTAACAAATGCAATGGCAGGCAGCACATTAATTTCACATAACAATATTTTCTTATCCTCTAATTCAAGAAAAGAAGTTTCTGTAGCAACTTCTATATTTCAAGATTCCTAGAGGGATGACTATACCAAAGACCAATGTGCTTCAGCTACCCTTCTCTGCCAGCAACCAGAGCAAGGTGCCTGAAGGAAGATGTAAAAATGCAAAAATCTGCCAAGGAGAACTTTCTGCCTAACTCCAGGCTGTCATAGTTGATCAACTGCACAAAACATGAGTGTTTAAAACAGAGATCAGATTTTGGTTAGCAGCAGATTTTCTCATGATTCACCTTTAAGATCTTTTTAGGGACCAACAGTGGTGTGCCCAATGACAGCCCTAATGCTAAGGCCCAATTTATGAACTCTGACACTGAGCTGGCAAGTACTCAGAACAAGCAGAGGACCCAGGCTCCTGGACACACGCAGGCAGTGAGGTGAGCCAGCAATCCAAGCAACAGGCAGGCTGGAGGATTAACACAAACCTCAATCCTCACAGCCCACACCTAAGAGTCTGACTGGACTCAAAGGAGTTGCCTGTCTCTCCATTTCTCAGCCCTTTCAGAAGCTGGTGTGCCCTTTAAAATGTTTAAAAGAAAAATAAGGTACTTCATGAACAGAGTTGCTCTGGGACTCAAGGGACTTGACACACCTGTGATAAAAGACAGTGGTTGGAGAAAGGGTCTGAAATGCAGTATTTAGGTGTGAAATGGGACAGTTGGACATCTCCACAATTCTAGAACTGACCACAGATATACATGCACACTGGGAGCCAAACCCTGTGCTGACAAGCTCTAGGCAAGTCTGGGGTGTCAGTGGGTTTGTGACAGGCAATAAAAGTAGAACTTGGAAGATGGCTCTGGAGTTTGAGAAAAGACACTCTCCCCTCCCACACATTAATTCAGCTCAGTGTCATGAGTAATTGTGCAGTGAGTGGGAAGAAAGGACAATAACACTTATAAAATAAACCTCCAGAAATCTTTTAAATAGAAAAATCAGCTGCAGGGAAAGTGAAGCAGAAAGAAATGTGGCCAAAAAAAGCAAAAAATAATTCTAAAAAGATAGCATGTTAAAAGGGACAGTATTCCAGCTGTGAAATAGGAAGAGAACATTGTTCATGAAACAAAACACCCTTTGAGGTGCTTAAATTTAACTTTCTTATTTTAAACAAAGCATTAAAGCTCTACTAAATTAGTCCAAAATAATACAAAATAAGTCTGAGCAAAGGGCCGGATGCTTGGCTGGAAATCCTGGCCATTGCACTGTGGATATAATTTTGCACCTCTTGAGAAGCTTTGCATGGGGATGTAGCTGCAACACAGGATTTCATGCCTGTTCTCTAAAGGGAGTCCTCAGCTCAGAGGTGTCAGGAAGCAGATTTTAATGAGAATGAAAACAGGCTGACCTCTCTTCATGTGCTTCTGTGAATAAGTTTTGACATTCGGCTTCTGTCAACAGCTAAGGGAACTTTTATGAAATTATAAAAAGAACGTGAATATAAGACAAATGTCACCCTGTAGAATTCTACTGAGCCTGACTTTTTGATCCAAACCACTCAAAGCCTTCCCTTTGAGTTGTCTCCTAGGGGAAAGGAATCCCTGAGCAGCATAGGAAACAGCGTAGGATTTCTGACCTAGCGTTGGACTGTACTGCTATTCATTCTGGCACAAAGTATTCGTAAGAGAACGGGAATTCCTAGCCCCTACCTGCTGGAAGGAGGGATTTGCATGCACTTTTGTGCCATGTAGAACACCTCTACCAGTGACCAGGAACCCACCTGCAATGTCTAGAAGCCAATTTGGAGCTACTACTCCTGTTCTGATCGGGTACTGGAAGTCCTTAAGTGTTCCCAGACAAAAAGAAACAAAACCCACAACTTCTTTGGAGATGCCTTATTCCTTGTTCGCGAATCTGACATCACACTGCTGCTGTAGCTAGGCATACAGGCCTAGACACTCTCTGTGCTCACTGCAGTACTCCGTGTAATATTTCTGTTTCTAAGCACACTTATGAAAACTGTATTGCAGTCTTAGAACATAGATGGTCATTGCTGGGTGGTTCCTACTTCAAGAAGGACAGAAAGGATCACTAGCTAAATCTAATCAGGTTTCACCAAGTACTTTACTTAGATTTAAAAAAAAATTGTAAAACTGAAATATTTCTGTTCCCAGAGCTCAGAATGCTGAGGAAACATTGGTCTCAGTGCTCCTATGAAGACAAAGAATGTGGCCAAGATGCCCTGATGATCCTGGGCATCTCAGCAACACTTTCTTCACCCTAAACATTTTTTCTCAGATGTCTTAGTAAAACATTTGTCCTGCCAACAGAAAATTAATTTAATTTCTAAATCTCTAAGCAACATCAAGGCTACATATGGAAAATTACGTCAGTTTAATTATCATCATAGCCAGGAATCGGAATTCAATGAAATTTGTTATGTACTGGTCCTTCTCATGCTTTTACCTGCATCAGGACAGAAAATACCCCATTGTTACCTTCTCCATGTGTAAGTTCATAAATGCAGTAATCAAGTCACCTCATGCCTCTGATTAACTGTGACTGCTAAGTTGAACAGGATGTATCTGGACAACATTGTGACTGAAGGCTGCCACAGGCTGTCAGGGATGGGGCTATTAATGGTAACTCAGTACAGAGACTGTGAGCCTGGAGGTATTGCCAGTCCTGCAAATCTATTCTCTATTTGTGATTTAGAGGGTGGAGCTGATGGTTTAATAAGAACATCCCATCTACAAGAGCTGACTGGGGGTGTACCACAGAAACAAGTTCCTGTCAGAAAACACTTATTCAAAACTGAAATGCTTTGTAAATACATTTTAGCTGAAAAAATTCCACTGAGTTTGATACTAGCTTCCTAGCAGGGCTGTTGAGGAACCAATGCCCCAAACATCTGCATTAAGAATCAAATCTTAATGCAAATGCTCAGATCTGCTGACTCTAGAACCTTCTGACTGCTCCCAGCTGCCTGACAGTCTGTGTGGGTGAGAGAACTTCCCACTGGGATGGACGGGCTCAAGATCTGTGGATACACTCCACTGGAAAATAACAATCAGTACAAACCCCACCTTGTGCTCCAAGGGCAAGACATTTTTAACCTTGCTTCTTCGCAATACGTAGATAGCGACCTAGCTATCCATGTGATCTGATTAAAAAAAATTCCTGGCAAAACAAGCCAATTCACTTCACAGGCTTCTGGCCTTGTGGAAGAGATAAACTCTGTGACAGTAGTCACAACGCTTAACGTGCTCCAAATATTTTGTGTTAGAAGACAGAGGAAACATGATTACCTGAAGAAAAAACCATAATGAAGTCAGATTAAGAAGCTATTCAAAATTACTGAAGCCTTCAACCACACAATGAAAACATCCTTTTTTCCTTCAGAAGGCATGCTTGGCTTCAGCAGCTTATCAAGAAAGCACTGTAGGGAGTCAGCAACAGAATTCTTAACTTCACTGTTCTATTTTGCTTTCCTAAAGACAGGTTTAAAAATGCAGTTTCCATTCCATCAGTGCCCACTTTAACTTATAGGCCAATATATTAATTTTTTTAAACTCAGGAGCCATACCATAAGAGATCTTAAGGAGTGACTACACTCAGGAAGTGCCAAGCAGCTAGTGTCAAGTACATGTAATTCCTGAGGAGGTTCACTGTGACTGATGCAATAGCAGTTCCCAAATCTATGCATTAGTATTTGACTACACTAGAAATAGCATGATGGAGGAGAAGACTTATGAGCTTGCACAGAGAAATCAGGGGCCACAGTTTGGTTTGTGATGGTTGGAGAGTCTTAAAAACAAAGTAATGGAGGGTTGGGCAACAGACTGGGCATTGACTGCACAGACACATGCGTTAGAGGAATCAGTGAGGGGCTGCTGCTGGAGCGAGCCATGCAAGGCCTTTATGTGTCTGGATTCATTCCAAACTGGAGAGAACTACAAACAACAAATTATTTCCAGCTCATAATTACATATTGTGAGGATTTTCACATTGGAGATATGTGGCAAATGCAGATTTATCAAGCTGCAGTCATACAAAGTTCCAAAGCGTAAGTCTTAGCTAACCTGTCATTTCTAGGTAGCTGAGAAATTCAGTATGTCAACTGCTGTATCACAACTCAAATCTGACTCATTCACTCAGTGCTAAGATGAAATACATTCATATGGGAGGCTATTTTTAATATCAAGTTCTTAGCTGTTCCCTAAATTAATTTGCTTATAAGATTTTGTATATGTGAAAGTGTTTCAGCTGTTTAACCTTCTCTTTCCCATCTGTGTTTTTCGAGAGCCATTCTTCAAAGTGTGAGAGGATTTTTTTAAAATTCAGTTCACCATGTGGATCATTTCAAGTCACAGACAAGTTCTAAGGCCAACCCCACTCAAAGGGGAAATCTGGCTGCTTCCAGTGGACTCTGGATTAGGCATTTTGTTAGGGCAAATCTGGGGCTAAGAGACAGCTATTGCTTTGTTAAACAAGGAACTCTGGTATTAATGAAAGCATTTCTAAAACTTTCCAGAATTCCTGAGATTCCTGGAAGGCCCTAATGCGTTGCTTACATCTAAAAACACATAGGAACTATCTTTACAGGGATCTTTGCTTTGGATGAGGGACTGTTAGTTGCCCAGTCCTTGTTTACTGGCCCACTATGGTAAATTGCCTGTTGATATTTGAATTTAATTGCCTTGCAGATCTTTGGTTCTGATGCCTGCTCAGGGAAACAATATTGATGTGGTCTTAGATTGGCAGACCATATCTTCATAAAGCCATAGATATGTTCTGCACATAAAGTGCATGATGTCTCAAACTCCGTTAGAAATCCAAACAAGAAAGAAAATATGTTCCACTTTAAATGTTACAAATGCAGTTATAATGTTGTAAGCCCCAATCTGTCCCCAACTGTAAATCTGGAACAAGTGCACAGACACCCAAGACTGAGGTAAGAGCTGCATTCCACTGCAGTCACCCCAAAGAAGTCAGGTTTCATTTCCTAAAGATCTAAAACCAAGATTCTTCTTGTCTATTTTCTGATCCATCATATGAAGTTTAATGGGGCAGGGAAAAGCAGCTCTTTAAGAAGATGACCATCTTTTGTTACATTCTGATGGGTAATAAGTTAACTTGATAAACAACTGACTTCACCCTTTTTTAGTTTTAGATGGTATGTCCATCATCTCTTCAGACATAAAATGCCTTCTGCCTTAAGGAAAATTTACAGACCACAATAAGATCTACATTAGCTATAAGCATAACTGATCCACATTCAAGTGCAATGCTGTTAAGAGTATTCCTAAAACTGTCTCAGACAGACCCTAGAGAGCTGCTAAAATGCCACTGTCCTACCAAGAAAGGTGTTCTCAAGTCACAGCGACAGGTTGTTGGGTTTTGTTGCTACTTAATGCTGAAGACAAATTTTAACTTAAACACTTTGATGGCAGTGATGAAGAGGGCATACAAAGGTGTCTTTGTGCTTGAGACAACAGTAGCAAATGGGAAACCAGAAAAATACTGACTTCACTTGGTTGAAGCCTTCCACATAGTAACAACAGCAGAATCCTGAATTGCTTCAGTACTGTGAGCAATCCTTACTCCAGTTTCAGTCCCACATATTGTCATCAGGATCACTAATATTATCAAAGAATCACTGGCTCTTTATCTGTGCCCCCCTGCACGATCTGTTTTTAGTATCACTGTGGGGAAGCATATCTCAAATAGACAGATGGGTTAAAGACAGGGAGTCTTATTTGTCGTTCCAACAGTATAATACTTCTCGAAGCACAGAGCAGCAACATAACTCTGCTTTAATATCTAATGATATACACCCCATATTCTCATGTACTGTTTGTGGAAGACTGTGCCAAGAAAACACAGAATTGTGAGCCAAAAGCTGCATAGTGTCATTCAGAATAAGAACCCATGGCATAAACTTAATATAATATAATCCATTACATTTTTTTCCATTGTTTTTCTTCCTCAGCTTAATAAATCACCTACCTCTCTGCATTTACTCCACAGTGATTGCTTAACAGAGGATACACAAGCATCATTGTTAAGCAGAGAAAAATCTCCTATTCTCTATGCTCTATTACATAAAATTCTATATAATATCTTTAAAGAATGAAAAACAGCAATTTCTGGGAGTTGAGCATGGATATACAGAAGTCAGCAAGTAACTATCAGAGTCCTGAATGCTTTCAAAATGCAGGTCTGACATCAGTAAAAGAAAAAAAGAGGAAACAACACATCACCTAAATTACCTCACAGCTATTTGCATAAAGGGTGCAGAGGCAGTACAGTATAAGTACGGAGACACAAGCCATCCAAAGAGAACTTAGCAACAGTTCTACTGGATACTCTGTGTGTCTGTAGCAGAAAAAGGGCAACTTCAAAGCTCAGATGTGCAAGCATCTTTAAAGGACTGAACACTCTCTTGGCAGATGCATCAAGCAAAAATCTGAAACTACAAACCAGGTAATTTACCAAATGATTTCTTTTTTAGCTGATTCTAACTTTCCTTCTAAAGACTGCTCTGAGCCAAATAGCCTATGTCATTCTTAGTGCTGTTATCCAAGGACTTCATGGGAAGTGATAGAAACCTGACAGTAAGAGAGGTAAGAAACTCATTCTCTATTTTAAAAATTTGCAGAACTTCATAGAATTGTGCATTTCTTTTATGTTCTGAAGATACAATTAAGCTAAATGAGTGCTATACTACTATTAAAGATGTATTCCATTCTACTGAAGGAACTCTGCTTAGTGGAAAATAAATCCATGACAAGTACATTAGGAATTCCAGTGCTATCTAGAAAGATTAGAAAAACATGTGTTACCTGGGCAAGAGGTAACAGATAATTGTTATGTCTCTGAAAAAAAAAAATTAGGTGCTTCCCCAATGCAAGAAATTCTCCCAACCAACAGAGCATAGCTATCTTGTACAGACAAATATCACAGGGCTACTTAAGTGTATAGAAATAGATATTAGAAAACTAATGGACTGTTAAAGCTGGGCTTTAACTACAGGTGGAATGACAGTGCTGCAAATCCCAGTATTATTTTAAAATGAACCCTTAAAGGGAATTGCCTGGTGGAGATGGCTAGTGCAGGTGTATATGTCTGTACCTCATGGGCAACAGCTGACAATTCAAGAGGGAAATTACCTCTGCTTCTTGGAAGAAGGCAAAGCAAAATCACTGGCTTTCAGAAATATCTGTGCATTAGGAAGTTAGGTGTTGAAAATGTTCAGATTTATGAAATACTCTATTTTTCATTAATATAATGAACAAGTGTCTGGTTCTAATTATGAAGACTACAGATTTTTTGAAGAATATCAAATGAACTGAGAGGTTAGTAACAGAAATGAGGAAGGACCCTCCTAAGAGACTTCAATCCCTACGGTAGGTAGTGCCATATTTCTTTCTCGGTGTCTGGAAATATTGCTGTTATTTCTAGGTTTGTTTGCTCCACCCTCCTCCCCTGTTGCTGTCTCTCCCAGGGAAGGTGCAGAACCCGTCCCACAATGCCATCCATCCCGCTGCCACTGCTGCTCCTCTGCCTGACCTGCTGTGGCCTCTGCCGCAGCGTGGGGCAGCCCCTGCCAGAGGGAAGGGAGAACATGGGAAGAGGTCCCCTGGGTGACATCCTGCAAAAAGCTGAAAGCCTCCTTCTTCAGTCTGTCCTCAAGAAAGCTGAAAAGGAAGAAGAGATGAATAAAGGTATATGTAACCCTGGGGACATCCATCTGATGATGCTGGCATAATATCAGCTGGATCATTAGATCCAGTGTACAGTTCCCAGGTTCTAATGTATTCTAAGGGGATGGCAAGGATAGGAGGTCTGTTGCAATACACTGACAAAGAGCTCTCAAAAGGTGCTTTCTTCCCTAAGATCCCCCAATTAGGCAATGCTGTACCATCACTAAGCAGCTGCTGCACCATAAGAAGGTAGAAGCCTGCCACAGAAAACTTGCATGTCTGGCAAGTCCTTCCCTAGGGCAGCTCTCAGAGGACCCGTGGAGGACACTCCCCAGTTGCAGACCCTGTACCTAACATTAACTGGAGGCAGGAGTGCTGCCGTTCTCCTCCTACCCCCCCCAACAGCACTGGGCTTTTCTGCTGCCGTGCCCACTCCTCCCAGCCTGCAGACATCCTGCTCTCTGGTCAGACTCAGGGACCACAGGCAGCAGCACATAGGTTTTTTCTGTGGGCACGTAGCACCAGCTCCTCTTCCCACCCCAGAAGAGCTCTGTGCTCCTTGTCGGTGGCAGACACCTTTCTCCCTCCTCACATGAATGCTGAGAGTTGGTCATGTTGATCCAAGACCTGAAATATTAGGAAGAGCTTAAGAATGAGTAAGAGGTACTAACAGAGTTATGACTGGTAGCTGCAAATACTGAGCTGGCTTTCCAATGTCCACATCCCTGCTTCAACTTGTGTCTCAGCCTTATCCTTTCCCTGCTGATTTCCAGCTCTTCCCCATATGCAGCTTCTGTCGCTGATTTCTTCCAGCTTCTCATCATCTTTTATTCACCTTCCTTTACCTGAATCTCACATTTACCTCAGTCAACACATTAGGTTTTGTCATTGCAGGTCCCCCCGTCTGGCTGCAGCTAGTTCCTAATGTATCAATCCACCCTAAAAATGTGCCAGAACTGTTTTGACAGATGCCACCCAGAGTGATCAAATTTAAAACCATACAGTTAACTGTGCAATAAAATGGGCATAATGAGCAACAGATTACGATCCTGCACCACAGAACTTCAAACTCCCATTTCAACTTCCTTAGTGAGGATTACAGGGCTCATTAACATTATTCTTTTCCTTGGACAGAATCAAATGCACCTCTGCCAGAATGGCTTTCCATAAGACAATACCCTAGGAAAAAGTACTTAAGTGACCTGGAGAAGAGACAGCATCCTGGAAAAAGAGATGTTGATGAAGACACATCTTATGAAGACATTCAGAAGAGACAGCATCCAGGGAAAAGAGAGATAGAAGATGAGCTTGGCAGCTATCTGGAGCTGAAGAAGCGACAGCATCCTGGCAGAAGGTCGTTGTCAGATCAGTATGCTGACATCCCCCATGCACAGCTAACCTACTTGAATGAGTTAGCCAAAAGACAGCATCCAGGCAGAAGGTATCTGATGTACAAGCACCAGCGCCCCAGCAAGAGAGGCTGGAATGATGAGGTAGACCTACATGACCACTACGGTGAGAAACGCCAGCACCCTGGAAAAAGGCACTGGAATTCTGACAGCCCAGATGACGCAGGCCCCTGCAACTTCCAGGAGTCCTTCACCTGTAACAAAGGCAGCTTATTGCTTGATTTAGTAGAAAATGTTAGCAAAGACAGGGTAGAAGAAAAACGTCAGCATCCAGGAAAGAGATCAGCATGGGAGAGTGAAACAGAGGAGTGAGAACATAATTGTGTATCATTTGCATTTGGTGAAGTAAACCGCCAGATCACTAAAATTCTATTCACTCCCTTTCGGCTTCCTACTGCTGACCTCTGCAATCCTCTTTCAGTGCGTTAATGTTCCCATTTAAGTTAACGGCTTTGTCACACAAAGTAAAGGAACCAAAGGACCCAGCTGAATGGGGCAGGCAAGTACTGAGAATCTTCAACTGGGGCACTTCAGGAAGTTAAGAGCACTTTCTTATGGGTCCAGACCCCAGGATAATCCCACTATGTGTGTCCAATTTTCTGTTACTGAATGACTAAAACAGGTTCTTAAATATCTGTTCTGATGCTACTAAAGTGGAATAATTATATGGTTTTCTCTCACATCAGTGGAATCAGTAAATTAATAGAGATGGAGAAAAGATAGCAACATATGCCAATTATTTCAAAATGAAACTGAATAGGTTTTCAATTCTAAATGATACATTAATGAACCCTGAACCCTTGCACACTAAAGTCCGCCCAGACAGTAAGCACAGAACAGACACAGGAACAGTTCCAACTGGAACAGATTAGATGACTGATTTAATAGTTTGACTCAGAACTGGCACATAAACCCCCTTTTTATCTATAAGGGGCTGCACAGTGCAAAGGGTTAATGCACCCCAGAGCATCTCAGCCCGAGCTGTGAACCTGACTGCATATAGCCCATACTAGAACTCCCACCCTGGTGCCTCCACATTTTAGTCATGACACTTGAAATCATGCCTTCTCCTCTGACATCCTTAAATTCCTTAAAAAGGAAACAAGCAGACATCCTTTTCTTTCAGCAAGGATTTCTGATTTCTCTCCTCTCAAAGGAATGCTTTTACTTTCTGTGATCAGACTCCCAAAAGTGTTTATTTGATATGAATGATTCAATAAACATCAATAGTTAACTCTGGGTGTCCTTATTGGTTCTGCAAACATGCTGTAATAAAGTGAAAAACAAATGCAACCCAATCTAAATAAAAATAAATTAACAGCAAAAGATTTTTTTCTAGGGACAAGCTTCTTGCGTGCTGGTGGTCAGCACACGTTTATATGTAAACTTGTATTGCTACTGAAGTGGAAGGATGATTTCCATATGGAAAGATCCCCTTCTTGAATCTTCTACCTGTATGACACAGACAATTCTGCATCTGGGCTAAACCCACAGCAACATTGTCACCAGGGAACTTTACTAAAAGTCTGATTTCCTGCTCACAGGCCTAAACAATAGACTTACCGATTTTTGCAATTAACGCACACAGTTATGAATGCATTGAGTTATTCATGTCACTTCTTGCACAGTCAAAGAATTTAGAGCATGTCAACATTTCACTAGAATTTATAAACAAATGAGTATGTTTTCCACTGACATCCATCCTTTTCAATACCATCAAGACACATTAAGTGCCTTGAGTGTTCCTTTTAAATATGACCGTTCCCCCACTCACTGCCTCAGAGCTCTTCCTCCATTATACTAGCTTTGCCATATGGTTCAGTTAACCTGAAGAAGAATAATTCATCATCACAGCGAGTTTCACTGAAGTTAGATGCTCCCAGGCAGATCTACACTCAACATGGTCTATCAAACAATTTCTAACTCAGGAGATAATATGCTGTACTGTATGTGACAGCTGGCAGACCTCTTCTATTGACATGGGTTTTTAATTAACCAGTGTTGAAGAAATCCTCAGGGGAGGTAGCTGGGAACATTCCATACACTTCAAATTCCTTAGCACACTTTCCGTATATGATGCCTTTTGAAATGTTCAGGTTTCATTTCATAAGGGAAAAGGTTTCTCTAAAGAATACCATTTCATACAGCATTTCTGGCAGTGAATGAATGCTTCTTGAACCTCAGGGAATACTACTACACAAGACCACCACCACTTGTTATAAAATGTCCAAAATAAGTGAAAAACAGGAAAGAAAAAAATTAACAAGTGGGTAAACATGGGCAACAGCAAAAACGCATCATAGCTCCTGCAAGACAAGGATGCTGCTGTGGCTGCTACAAGAAAGCCAAGGGGGGGAAGGAAGAGAAGCATGAAAGCCCAAGATAAACATTTCTAATGTGCAGCTACAGCCGCTGGTTCAAGCTATGAGGTCACTGCCTGCAAAATCTACCATTCTGAGTGAATCTCACATGCACTTTATTGGCAGTAAATCAATCACATATTAAGGAAAGAGTGTGCGCTCCTCTCAGTGCAGCCAGTGAAAAGCTAGCATAACTGGTTTTATCCAAGTCTAATTTTTTCCATCTTATGTATTTTAGGTTCTGGGCACTCCACTATTTTCAGAGACGACACGTTCTGCCAGGGGCTAGTCATCTGTTTTAAAAGCAAGGCTATCATTACTGTAATTTTCAAAGGAATTATGTCTATTAGTTTTGAGTTGTTTTGAGGATTTTTGTGTTGGTTATGTTTTTAAAAAAGCCAATCCTGAGGTGGCAGCATTTTACAGTAAATCAGATTTATCATGCCTGCAGATTTTAAAGTTTGCCTCAGTTTGGAGCTGCTGAAAATGTACTTGCCTGGCTAGGAGAGGCACAAGCAGATACTGGGAGAGCTCTGATTTCAATTTCTTTAAAAAAAAAACCACAGTTATTTTTAAAAAAATCCCTTTGTTACTCCAGCAAAAGGTGTCTGGAACATGACAGAAACTCTCAGGGATTCCTGGGCAGGGGTGAGATTTCCACTCAGAGAAGCACAATGCACAGCTCCTGATGCTGGCTTAGCATGTCCATGAACATAAGACAGAATAGTATGGAGATTGAAACATAAGACAGAAGTCCAGAGGTTTTGTTAATGATCTGAGTTTGAAAATCTTAGAAACTCAAAGAGGATGACCCTGGAAACAGAACTGAATACAGGACAACTTTCTGCTTATTTCCCATCTATGTAGCAGTCAAAAGAGCCAGCACATCTGCTCCCGAGACACCACAAAAACACAACTATCATTGCCAAGTAGCCAGAAAAGTGACAGCCCTGACAGAAATCCCAAGAGGATGAAGTAGGATGCTCTTAACCTTCCGCAGATATTTGTCTAATTATAGCTATAGTTCTCCTTAACCCTGGGATACCTGCACCTACATGATTATTTTGATTATGCTAAACATGGTTCATGGAGCTACATTATCTCTGAAAAGACTTGGAGATAGAGCTACAAGTACAACCTAGGAAAGTGTAAAATTAACCACCAAATTAAAATTTTACAGGTAGGTTAGAACTTGCACCTGATGGGGATCTGATAACCTTATTTAATCCCATGCATTTGTTGAAACATGGCCATTTACAAAAAGGGAACAAAAAACCCAGTTTTCTTCATTTTATATTAAATTTTCCCCTTAAAACTTTCAAAAGCTAGCATTTACTTCCAATGGAGAAAATGACTCAGCCATTCTGTTACTTGCATAAAAAGACTGTCACTCAAGAAAAGGGAAGAGACAGTTTTCACTGGAGAAAAAGATTGCATATTTTAAGAGTGCTACTGTTTTTTAATAACTCAAAACAATATTTCAATCTTGCCAATAAAATTTTTCCAGATTTTTGTTTTGATTGAAACTACATTTTCTCTCAGTACCTGCACGAACATTTCACCTCCCCATTAAATTCTGCCTGCCTTCTGCAGTGTTGCAGACACACCACCATGCATGTACAACACCCCTCCTGTGGCACCCTCTCGGAGGGCTGCCTGCCATTTGCGATTTGACACTTTGGGGACTATAAACACGCATAAGCACAAGTTTTGAAGTTTGTCAGATTTACCTGCACCCTAAAAACTTTTGGGCTCTGGAGTCGGGCTAAAGGACCAACCAGAAAAAAAACCCAGCTTCTATACTATAATGCTCTGCTTCTTTGAATAGCAAATATAATGCAATCTCTTAGCAACAGCAACTACAGACTATTTAGTTACAAGGTAAGAATTTATTAGTTACACATCCCTCATCATCTTATTTTATTGTATACCTTCCCCTCACTGCCACCCCATATTTGAATTTAACATCCATGCAAACATCTACAGATGTTGCCAGCTTTGCTTGGTCACACATAAATGTAGTTGCACATAAATGCATAAGGGGCCTTTAAGTCACAAAGTTCCTCGATGAAGGTTACTATGTGTCCTTAGGACAGCCTGTGGCTCTTCAGGAGTGATAACAGATCAACTGCAGATCTGGTCCAAAGGCCACGGAACTCAGTGTAAGAATCTCCCTTGTCCTCTGCAGAATCTGGACTAGGTCCACAGGTGTGCACTGGCCTGTTTTGTCAGTTACCAGACCTAGCATAAAGGACACAGCCAGCATCAAGAGGAACCAGTAACCAGATGGTATTTGACACAAAAGGGTCAGTACACAGGTGATCACTGGGGGTACAAACAAGTCAGATTATACATAACCAACCTTAATCCCAATGATCACAACAGCGACACTGCATGACCAGCAATGGCTGCAATGAACAGTGAAATACAGTCTCCCATAGAAGGGACAGCAGACAACCGACTCCACAAGCCAAATACATAAGACCAAGAAAACCACATACTGAATCTCTACACAGCCCATGTTCACAAAAGCCATACCTGACCGGAGCCCAGTCCCAAGGAAGCAGGAGGTCCTTCCCCAACAGGGAACCCTGCAGAATGCATCCACCTCACAGACAGACACTGCCCCACCTACAAGGGGTCCCAGCTTTTATCCCTAGGTGGGACACCTGAGCCTTATTTACTCAATGTGAAACACCTGGGGCACATTTACCTAATGGCTCTCCCTGCCAGGCCGGCCCCACCCTGGAGGGAAGCTTAAAGGGAAACTCACCCCCCCCCCCCCCCTTTGGG